GGGTTTTGGGTTTAGGGTTTAGGCAGCTTCGAATTTAGGGTATTGGGGAGTTCATGGCTTCTAAGCTTCTGAGGTGACGGAAGGCGACGTCTCAGGAAGGAGCCCAGAACGTTGATGTCTGCAGGAAGCGGTGGGATCGCAAACTCGGCATACCTCAGGGTTTGCACATGGCAAATACACCCGCAGCAGCATGAACTTGATTGACTAGAACTGACTGCGCTGAGCATACTGCTTGCAGTCTCGCTCGCCATACCGGATCTCCTCGAGTGCACGGACTCGTTCGAGCTGTCTGCGTAGTTGACCACAAGAGCGGAACGCCGTCATAGCCACCAGATTCTGGTGTGCATGTTAAAACTGTCCACCAGATTCTGGTGTGCATGTTAAAACTGTCAATAAGACAAGAAAACAATTTTTCTGTCACTACAGGAGCAGCAAAGGGCAAGGTCCTGCTTTCGCCAGTTGTTGCCCTTCATTGGCTTCAGCCTGGTGCCATTGGCAAAGACGTTCACCGCCTGAGCAGCACTTCGCGGACGTGCCAGTCGCCGGCCCCTGAACCGAAACTGGATCTGCACAGAAACCTGAAGCCTCTTCTACCATCTCACCCTATCTCCAGGAGGCGATCCAGGTCTGCCCCTAAGAAACGATGAAACAGCAAACGGCAGCAATGCCCCTCTGTTCATGTTTTGGTGTTTTGGTGCCCCAGGGAAAACACAGAGGACTAAACTCACAGTAATATATGCCACAGAACAGGGTGATATAGTAATATACCTAAAACTTTTTAACGTTTACTACTATACCATACAATACTATAGTGTACTGTACTATACTATATTATGCTATGCTACACTATACTATAACGCATACTGTCATGATGCTGGTGGCGGCCTCTAAGCTCATGTGGTATCCCACGACGAGCCGCCCTCTGAGCACGCCGAGTACCTCCGGATCGGGGCTTCGCATGGGAGTCAACGTTGCAAGTCTTCTGATGCCCTTCAACAACATGTTTCCATGTCTTTTGTACTGTGATCTGTTACAATATAAAAACGAGTACACAACATATTAAACCATAATATACTAGACCACGCTATACTTTGATAAAATGTGGTGTAATACAGTATAGTATAATACCAGCGGCTCTGCGTACCTGATGGTGGAACAGCGACGACCATATGTTTCTGATCTCTGAGCCCGAAGAAGCCAACCCTTACCATTGCCGTGAAGGTGGAGCTGGCTTTCAAAATGCCAGAGATGCGGCTGTGCCGTCTCCTGACTTCTTGTTGCCGTCAAAGTCCGAATAATCAATCATACTATCGCATCAGGCCACCAGGATGACAATCAAATATACTGTGCCCCGACACCCTTTCCTACTTATGAAGGCTTGAAGAGCCCCTACCTTAAGGCAAGGACTCCTTTACCGACAGATGCCTCCACGTCTTCCTTGAGAGGGCTGATGCCCCTCCCGGCGTAGGCGAAGGACTCGGAGGAAGGGCCTGGAGTCACTCGGAGGGCGACGGCACCAAGGGGAGGCTCCTCTGCATAGTCTTAGGCCCTGAACTTCAGACACGAACCTTGAAGCCCAGTACCCTGGCCCAAAAAAGCTTAAACTTTTCTTTTAGTAGGGGGTTTAATATACCAAAAAGTTTAAAGTTTACCTACTGGGCTCCTAAGACTCCGAATGTTGCTGCTCTTATGGCTAGGCGGATCGGGGACAGTTTTGGCAGGATGTGGTACACATATTGGGGTTGATGCAGGAATTCGGGAAGGTGAAACGGTGAAACGATTGTCAGGGCTCGAACAGCTGCCGACATAATGTGAACCAAACGAACACTGCTCTGCAAGCCTTGTGAAAGTTACTACACTCGTTTTTCGTTGCATGGCTCGAGGAAGAATGCCTGCTGGCGGTCTAGGACAAGTACTAGAATTGGCCAGTTTAAGGTGCCTGAGCAGAGTTATGAGAGTCGAGCAAGGTTTTGTCCAAAGATGTTCACAAGTGCTGCAAAGCGCAGTCTGCGAAGCAATTGTGGATTTTAGCGATGGAGGAGCCACGAAGCTGTAAGATACTTCGAAGAACGACCAAGAAAAGCAACTCATGAACCCATAACACTATCCGTTCCACTACCCCTGACAGTCTTATAGATCTCCTTAAAGAACCCCCCTTGTCCTACCCCCGTTATGCCTCCAAAAATCTCCGGGGCCGGGCCTGCCAGCAGCAGGGCGGCGACTAGAAGAGCCCCCGCCAAAACTCGGCGAGGCCGGAGAGGGGCCTCCTCCGAGCTTCCGGCGTGTTTAGGGTTTAGGGTTGGTCTTCTTCTGCTTTGTGGGGGTTCGGGGATTGCACGGGTTTGGCCTTGAAGGTGCTGTAGGCTGAAATTTCCGGTGGGAACAATCTGGCACGGAAACTCTGACACATCCTGAAGCTTCTGTAGCTCCGCTGAGCCTCCGCCCATACCAAAAGTAGTAGCTTACCACTTAGGATAAGCTTTGGCGGTATTTTCTACCCTGCTTCTATGAAGGTTTAGGAAGAATATTGGTAATTGGTTGGGCTTCTCTATTACCCTCCGCATTCGTGGCCCCTTCCCCCACTCCGAGCGCCTGTGTGGAGCGGGTGAGGCTGGGCACCGGCATCATTCGTGGAGGCGCGGTGGCCGCGTGTTGCCGCTTCGAGGTGCGTGCTGTCATATTTACATCCACACGTAAGTGCACTTCATCATAATTATTGCATAAACTCCTCAGATGACGCGTTGATTCTATAGAAAAGGTTGTTGCACATCTGCTCTTCGTGGAAACAGGTCAGACTAGTCTAGCTTCTTCTGGAAGCTTAGGCTGTAAGTCGAAGCCGAAGTCTCTGCTGGGGTGGCGAACTTTCCGTCTCTACTTCTCGATTCTGTTCGTTGCTTTTCGAATAAACCGCCTTGTTTATGCATGGTTTGTGTCTGGTCTAACGGCATGACGCAACCTTGACTAGAAGAACGTGTAAATGTAAATAAATAAATGAATAAATACATAAATATAAATATAAATATAAATAAACAAATAAATAACTAAATATATATATATATATACAAACGTACTTGAATGAAGAGCTCGGGTCCCAAGGTGCCTGCCCCGGACCACCGGTCCACGATACAGCCTTGACGTGGAAAAGCTGGCAGGCACCGCTGAGTCGCCAAACACAACGCTGACTAAGTCATAACCTCGAAGCCTCAACTTGAACGGCCTTGAACTGATGGACGCCGAAATGCACGAAAGCCTCTAACTCCTCAGCTGTGACACCAAGCCCTAAACCCCAAAAGCACCAAATTGTTAAACTCTGCACCGTATGTACAAATTCTTCAGACATATGATGATATTTACATACACACAAAAGGAGATGAGCCCGAAACCTTCACGTCTTCTAGGCCACAAGGACTCACCCGCCTAAAGGACTCGAGAAGAGCAGGTGCAGCCAGATATTGCAAAACCAACCCAGTGCCATCCAAAAGCAATCAAGACCTAAAACTGAACATTGAGGGTTTAGGGTTTAGGGTTTAGGGTTGAAAAACCAACCCAGTGCCATCAAAAGCAATCAAAACTAAAACTGAACAGCATGTCATAGAAAACTGAGGCGAAGATGAGAGGGATGATTGCTTGGTAACTCCTGGCCAGTCGTCTTGTTGAATCTGTTACATTTCGGAAGCTCATTGAACCAGGACCTTTTCCGTCTACTCCATGCTGCAAAGCCTCCCTGGAAAACGGAGGAGGCAGCTGATGGCGATGTTATTCTTTTTGGATCTACGGTTTAAGGTTTTTAGGGTTTAGGGTTTAGGGTTTTAGGACGGTTTAGAGTTTCAAGTTTAGGGTTTCAGGGGCTTCAAGACCTTTGACTCGTTCTCGTACTATATAGGGCTGACTGTGCATGTCATCGACAATCGGCCTCTCTTGCTTCGCGGTGAATATAGACAGGCGCTTCTTCAAATGAAGCGCCCAGTGCATGAGAAAATTCGACGTTCCCAGAGAACCCAATACCACTTAATTAAGGAATATACCTTAAATTATAGGGGCCCTAATATTCTGGTTTAAGGTATATTCCTTAGTTAAGGGGTATTGGGTTCTCTGGGTTGCACTACAGGGGGACATCTCTTCCCAAAGACTCATGCTCGGCACCAGCTAGGGTTTAGGGTTTAGGGTTCTGATGTGCTGTAATTAGGAACCCCAAAAAGGACATAAGCATAAGCATTTTATAGGGATATCCCTTTTTTGGGGCCCTAGTAATGCAGGCTGAGACAGGGACGGACCTTGAGTCTTCGGGATCTGTAACTCTCCTCGGCCTATTTTGTAGCAAACTCGTTCGCGGAGAAAGAACGGATAGTCTTCCTGTCCCTATAGGGGACTGCATACGTACAGTACGTATCTTTGGGGCAACACAGTTTGCAGATGTCTCGCCAGTCAGCAGCTCGAGCTTAGGGGGATCGCGGCTGACATGACTGTTTGGGAAGATGTCGCCCGAAACATTGTCAGCGAGTGCGCGCAGAATGTGTGGCTGCTGCTGGGCAGCGAGACTGGGAAATTACAAGGTGCTGTCGGAGGGGAAGATGACCCAGAATAGCTCCCTGTGATCACGGCTGCTCCTCTTGTGCTTCAACAGCAGCCAAAGCGTGATGCTCCACTGGTTCTTCATGGGGTCGACTATCCTCTTAGAACTTTGAAAACCCAGAGCCCATTTTAGACAAAAGCATGGGGAAATAACATTTTGAAGAACACCCAGTCCAAAAAGAAGCCACATTTGAGCTAGCTGTCATGTTACAAGCAGCTCTGATCCCTCAGCTTGTCAGTCGTGCAGGAGCCGGTACGTACATGATAGAGGGAAAGGAGTTGCTTCGACTGAAAGACCTAGTCTTGATCCTAGAAATAGGATGCGCGTTCTGAAGTTCTACTTGACAACTCAAGGAAACACATTCAAGATAAAATGTTACATGAAGTTAGCCTGTTGGTGCATATTAGTATACATTTACATATGTACACATACATGCATGCAAATATACTACAACATGGGAGTGTCATAGGTTATATTACCCTAACGCAAGAAAGCAACATGTGAACCCCAAAACCCTGTGCACAGCCACAGCCTCTACGTCCTCATGAGCTCCCTTAAATCAAACATCACCCAAAAATGTCCTTTTTCGGAAACCCTAAACCCCACACCCTAAACCCTAAACCCTAAACACTAAACCCTAAACGGCCCTAAACCCTACACCCCTCCGGCGAGATTACTGTGGAACCTCCATCCCCTATGCTCGGGAGCGCCGGACGCCGGGACGCTGAGGGTTGCGTGGAATGGCCCTGGTGAGCCGAGAGGAAGCAAAAGCCTTATTAGAATCAGGTTTCGGAGGTTCCTTATTATGATTATAGTAGAATATATCCCCCAAACCCTATTTTATCTAGTAAGGCCCTTACGGGTTCGTGGGACCTTTTCCTCAAGATTTGCTATGTTCGCCGGAGAAGAAAAGAAACCATTCGTATCCGTCTCGACTCACGCTAAGACGCAGGTCGAAATTGCTGCATGCCGTGATGCAGCGGCTTTCAGCTGCGGGCGAAGAATGGATTACTGCACCATGTTGTGGCTAATCCAATGGGGTGCGCCGCTGCTCAGTTTGTGGAAGATGGCCTGCCAAGACCATCGTGGCGACGAGGAAGCAGTTTGGACAGGCTACGAGATGCACAAAGCGTATTGCCACGCGTTCCCGGTTCTCATTAAAACTACCACTACTTGGAGGATCAGGGGATTCAGTGTATGTAAGGATACACGGAATCATAAGTAGAGTTACTTACTCTAACCCTAGTCGCTAAATCCCATGATCCTCCAAGTTTGTGTAGCAGCCTGGGGAAGCCCGTGCGAATCATGTTTAGGTTACAGCACATGTAGATCAGCACTCGGTTGATGTACGGTTGCTCGTGCCGGGGCTTCCAAAAGTTGTCGTGGGGGTCCTCGTATCAGGGATCCCTCCGTCAAGGATATCATTGAGGGTTCCAATTCTTGAGGAAGTCCAACTTGCAACATCAACTAGGAGTGCAGGATCTTACCAGTTGAACCAGGCAGCTTCAGACAGGCCGACCCTGAAAACACCGAAGGCCCCAAAAACTCTAAAACAACCGCACGAATCATCTTCAGAGTATTGATGATAACAGGAAGGAAAATCTGCAAGTCACAAGAAGCAGCAACAACCTTTCCGGGAACACCGCACATAAGGAGGCACGCACTCTCCCCCCTCCAAACACAGAGGCAAGTAGCCAGAATATGCAATGCACGCGCACAGACATTGCAAAGCCCCGCGAACGAAGCCAGGGAGACTCGAGATCGAGGTGATCTTGGGCAGCCTGCCAGGAGTCCAACGTCACACAGCGCTTCGGAGCTGCATGTGGATGCCTTTGCCTCTGTTCTTTCCGTTTCCTTCTGTTTCCTGCACTCACCCCTAATTCCAATAGGGAACCAGATCGGAAACAGCCCACATGCGTCTCGAAGTTCAAGGTCGAGGTCTAATCCACTGCACAGCCAAAGTCTTGAGAGCCCAGTGGCTGACAGCTCCTTCTTGAACCCAACGCCCCAGACCCGTTTTCTCTAACACTCAAGCAACAAGGGTTAAGCAGACCCAACTCGCCATTGTAACGAGAGTAAACGTCCCCCAAGCTTTGTGGAGGGTCGTTGCTTGATATAGGCTTGTTTGAGTTGTACTCTCAAAAGCCAAGCTCTAAGCCTCCAGCTACGATGAGGCAGCCCGAACGCTAAGGGCGATTGTGCCTCCAAGTCATGTCGAGACGGCCAAAAGCGCCAGTCCTGCAGGGGAAGAACCATAGGGATCCGGGGACGCGGCAAATCGAAAATTCGTCAAAGTGAATGATCATGGAACTGCACAAGTAGGTGACACTTGGGGCCAATGACAACGAACTCTTTTGGCCGTCCGATTCGGGGTCGTTTAGGGTGTAGGGCCCTAAACCCTAAACTCGCCCTGACCTGCAGTTTACACGGTTTAGGACTAGGAAGTCTGCTTCGTCGTTGCTGGTACGCAGCTTCATTCGTAGCGCAATTCTCCACGGACTCTCAGAAAAACCGGGTGCGACATAAAGCTCTCGTTGATCTTGGGATGGAGGGCTACTGCAAGGTTAGTCAAAAGTTGCTATTGGCTTACCATTAGGGTTCACATTCATCCTCTTGTTCTCCATGTCGACATCTCAGACGGAACCCTGACAGCAACCCTTGAAGGTACCCCAGAAGTCCTAAATCCCTGAACCCTAGAAATACTACCTATGGTTGCTGGACAAAATCCTACAGTATCCATAATGTGGAGCATACCCCAATACCAACTCCGGTAGTTAAAGGATACTTGTTATGTAAGGGCCGCAATAGTTAGAGTGTCTTAAACCAGGGTGTTGGAGCTGTATCATGCTACAATTACAATGAGCTAAGGCCTAGTATTCCGAATCATCCAGGCCCCTACATTAGGCATCGAAAAGAGAAACATTATCAATAGATATGTCTACCCTGCTATTTTGCAGAAGCTCAAAACCGTACGGTAACGCTTATCGTAACCCTGTTAGGTCCATCATCTGCCCTGAAGACGAACCCCTATTTAAATCGGTGAGCATCCCTAAACTCCGCGCTAAACCCCGAACGCCACCATAGAGACCCCTGAAAGCATCCTAAACAGGGGGATCTCTAAAGGGGGCTCCTATAAAGTACCCCGTAGCAGAGGGTCCCAAATTAAGGGAGCCACTTTTGAGATTCCCTAAATGCTAAACCCAAACCTTTCAGTCTCTGGCCCCAAATCAGGGGATCTACTTCTTGAGATCCTCCAAGGGGTGTATATTAAATTAATGAAAATCAACCAAGAGACCCATAAGCCTTAGCAGTCTAGGGTCCCAAATTAGGGGATCTACTTCCTAGATCCTTCTTAACCCTAAACACAAAAACCCTAAACCCTAAAACCCTAAACCCGATAGATCCCTACCGACCCCTTAAAGAAACCTTTAATCTCCTAGAGCCGGCCTCAGGGTAGATGAGCGGAAACATCCCCAGGATGCAGCCCAGGGAGATCCCTCGGCTGGGCGGGGCCCAAGGGGGGGGGGGGTTCAGTGCCCAGAGAGCAAAAGCTAGGCCTAGGTAGCCAAGTGTAATCGTTTTTTTTTGGAAAGGCGTTTCTTTGATGATTTATAAAGGATGTTCCATATGGGAGGAATCGACAACTTACCATACCTTCAATCAACGAGGGGCTGCATCCGACACTAGAAGCTATATTCCTCAAAGGAGGAGCATTGGGCTCTCTGGGTTGGCGGGATTCGTAACGTATGAGTGAGCCCCTTATGCAGATCCTACCATGTAGAAGCCTGATTCTGAAGACCCCGAATATAGGGGCCTGAATCATGAGAATAGGGTTTTGGGCACATTATACTATAACTATAATAAGGAGCCGCCAAAATGGTATTGGTCGATATTATTGCGGCCCCTACATCGGATAAGGATCCGCAGTTCGGAGACACTAGTCTAGGATCTCACTTGGAGCTTCATGTTTAATGTAGGGGCCTTTATAATTCCCTGTGCTATTTTAGGGGTTGCTTATTATAGATATAGTATAAAGGACCCCAAAACCCTACTGTAATTATTCAGGCCCCTAAAAAAGGGGTTCAGGGTTTGAGGTTAAAGTCTCGGTCTTTATGGCTTGGTTCACTGAACGTAGGGGCCTTAAAAATTGGAAGAGGGTTTCGGGGCCCAGTATACTATGATTATAACAAGGGTACCCCAAGGAATGATATACGTAATTATTTAGGCCCCTATATTAGCAGGGTCTAGGGGACGGTGTAGCCACGTCGCCTGCGATCATCGATGTGTTCTTGACGATGCGGACAGGCAGCAGCTCCCTCGTGCAAAGGATCCCTTAATGGGGGCTCCTACTAAGAGCCTTTAGTAGTATAGGGTCCCAAATTAGGGGTTCTACTTTCTAGATTGGGGGGCAAAGAAGTAGGTGTGGAGTTCACGATTTGGGGTGTCGGGTGTTGGGTCTGTGATCTATCCTGCCGGGGATTTCTTCGAATTACCACTAACAAGTGGCTCTTTTCAACATAACCAACACTTGGATGTGTGAGGGATATTCATAGGAAACCGACCAGCAACCAAGCAAATGACACCTGATTTCGTGCACGAAGAGTGTCATGGGCATGCCTTTGCCTTGAGCAGCAATTCAGAACTGAATTTGATGTTGTGGGTGAGCTTCATGCAGCGTGCGTGTCCCGTGATTCTTCGAGAAGTCGTGTGGATGCTAGTATGATACTAGTGTAGGACTGGAAAACAAGATACCATGGTAGTATAGAATCGTAGAGAAGCCTGAAACAACAAGCATTTTCTATTGGGTTTCCATCGCATATGATATGAAGGCCCTAAATCCTGACAGAACCCTGTCAAGCAACCCCCAGTAAAAGAACTCTATGCTACTTTTCAGAAAGCCACTCTATTCTCGGATCCCCAACAACCTAGGAATGAATGGGCTCCCATTTTGGTATTGGGTAGTGTTGTAAGGAAACTAAGACCACCAGGAAGAAGGGCCCCCTCCTGGAAGTATACCCTACAGCCCTACAGATACTTCTAGAACCCGATCAAGAAACCCTTAGAATTATTGACGCCATTATTGACTTCATGATGCGTTGGATTTGAGTCTGTCAGGTCATGCGAACAGCGCGAATAGCAGGGACAAGCATGTCAGGAATGCTGGAAGGGCAGTATTTATGTCATAATGATATTGGGGTGGTTGTCAAAATTAGGGTCCCTTTTGGGGTACCCTAAATAATAGGTGCCGTATTATAATAAGGACCCAAAAAAAACCCATAATTTTGACAACCACCCATTTTATGAGAGCCAAAATCCATACAGCCTTATGATCATAAGTACCAGAGTCGACCGGCACCTCGAACTTTAGAGCCGAGGATTTGGAGCTAAGGATCAGAATCTCTCAAGTGGGATCGTGGCTTGTAGAGCTTGGGAATATATGGGTAGTTCTCTAAATTAGGGTCCCTTTTGGGGTCCCTTTTATAAGGGTGCCGTACTATATTGGGGACCTAAAAAGGGACCCTAATTTAGAAAACTACTCATGTAGTAGAGGGGCCTTAATAAGTCGAAGAGGGTTTGGGTATGTTGTACCGTATACTATGTTTGCAATAAGGAACCCTACGTGCGACCATGCGGGCATTGGATAGTGGCAGTGCCACGCTGCACTCAAAACAATCGGGCTGCTCCCTATGCCAAACAATTACTTTGTGAAGTGGCTGGGTCATCAGAGGTTCATCATAAAAACCAGAACATACCCAAGCAGGACAACAGAGTTTTGTAAAATACAAGTGAATCAGAAAGCCAAGTGTAACACATCATAATGTTCTGGGCCTGCGCACTGCACAAATAAACGACGGGGCACCAGAAACAATGAAGCCGTATGAGCGCCCTTATTATAGGAACCCCTAGAGCAGCTCTTATATGAAGGAACCCTGATGCCAAGTTGATGGGGTCGCCCTTCTTAGATTTCTCTCCTCAACAGCACTGATCTCTCGAGCTCCTGACATCTGCCCACTCGTCAAGTTGTGGTGTTGTAACCCAGTCCTTGAAGTGAGAAGTTACCACAGTCAGAAGGCCGTAGGCGGCCTCAAAATCCCAAAAAGGGACTTGATTAGGTCCTATTTGAAAACCCTAAACCCTAAACAACCCACAACCCTAAACCCTAAA